GTAAACCTTCATTTGTGAAAAATTCATTGACTTTAAGATATGTATCTTCCCCTCTTATGTGCCCTTCCAAAGGGCAACATAACAATAATTCCTCACGTATGCTTCCTTCATAAATATGTTTTACATAAAGTAACATCTGCTCCGTGTTAGAAATAACAGTTGTTCTATCTAACTGAATTTCAATTTTTGGGCTGCCCTTAAGCCTGGTAATAAGCTGCTGGAATTGGTCATTACTAATTTCAGAAATTCTTTTGGATACACTATCATTTGATAAAGGAATTTCAGGAATTTCATCCCCACACTTTTTCCCATGAACTATTTCTGACATTTTAATAGCAGCAGGTGACACAAGATCTTCTCCTATAGCATAGGGTTTTTAGTTTTTGCAATTAAATAAGAAGTTTCATAAAATGCAAGTAAACACTTTTCATTGACAGGAACAAATTTCTCAAAACATTGTTTTTCTTTATTTGAAGATTTTAAAAGTTATTCAAAATATTCCTTTGGTTTATTGCAGTACACTGCATGCTTGGCATTAAGATGTCATTTTAGTTTGACTGGTTTCATGCTCTCTGAAGCCAAAACTTCATTACAAATTAAGCAAAGAGGTTTTTCCACGCCATCATCATTATTAGAAGTAAATTCATATTGCAAAAATGATTTGACATATTTTCTTTTTCATGTCAATTTAGGTGTACTACAACCTGGTAGCAAAGGCTCTGCCTCATTGTCATCAGTATTTTTACCTCTTCTGTCTAAATTTAACCACTTATCCATAACCAAAAAAAAATATTTTTGTCTTAAAATATAAATAAATATTGCTAATAATTTCTCAAATAAATACTAGTTTTAGTTTATGAAATTACATTTGTGCTTAATTTTTAAAAATTGATGTTCACACTTATATACATATACAGAGGTGATGGTAGAGAAATATTATGAAAGGGCTTCTGTCTTGCTTCTATTAAACACTTATGTTTCTGTAAAAGAAGGAGATAATAGTAATTTTAAAAATTAAACATTCTAACACAATACAATCCAAAGATATACTAATTTGATACTTACATGCTGAGGAATGATGGTGGGAAAATATTAAAAGTCTTCATTTTCAATAATTAAACTATTATGTTTCTATAAGAACAGAAAACTTTGTATGGTAAAAACACTGCTATTCAAAATATACAATAATCTAGAATCTGGGCTGAGATGTTTCTGTCAGCATTTGATGGCATTGCATGACATGACAGTAGTGCAAAGTGCACATGCCATATATTCAGAACCAAGACTGCAGTGAAATCACTCGATGCAACATAGGCAAGTGCTGCCAGAAACACCTCAGACTCATTCCACATTTGATTTTGAATTAATTTTTGGTCATTGCACATTCAGAAACCTTTTACTGTTGCCGAATTTTTGATCCCATATGGGGTTGTGACCCACAGTTTAAGAAGCACTGAAGGTACAGAAGTGGGAATAATTGTAAAAAGTACACCAGACAATTAGACCAGACTGGGAGAGAAAGTACAAGTTAACCATTACTGGCAAATGCAGCTGGATAAGCAAGGTAGGATCAGATCACAGAAAGCCTTGAAAACCAGGCTGAGGACTAGTAGAAGCCACTAAATATGAGTTTTTGAGTAGGGGATTAACATGATAAAAATAGTATTTTAGGAAGATTAATCTGGCATCAGTATGCAGGATAGACTAAGGACTAGATGTAAAGAATCTGCTTAGGAGACTATTGCAATAATTCAGAGATGTGATGAAATACTGGATTATGGAGATGGCAGTGGAAATGGGAACGAACTAATGGATATAAGACAAGGGTTCTTAACCTGTGATCTAGGAACCCCCAGGAATCCCTTGATAAATCTCAGGTGGTGAGTAAACTTGGATGGGAGAAAAATTACATCTTCATTTTTAGTAACCTCAAACTGAAATTTAGCATTTCTCTCAATAATTTTAAGACATTATTCTGAGATGCGGTCCATGGCAGTCAATATACTTCCAAAGGGGTCAGTCAGAGAGAGAGAGATTAAGAACCCCTGATACAAGAAAAGTTTGCAGAAAGGGATGAGGATGACTGACTGGACGTGAGTGATGAAGGAGAGGAATATTCTTTCCCTACCCCCAGTTCAGTTGATGTCAATCAATAAACATTTATTGAGCACTTACTATGTGTAGTGTCTGCACTGTGCTAAAGCATTGGAGATACAAATAGAGGGAAAAGACAGCCCCTGCCCTCAAGGAGCTCACAATCTAATGGGAGAGACAGTAAACAAACAAATATATACAAACTACACACAGTACAGGACAAATAGGAGATAATTCAGAGAAAGAAGGCATTAGAATTAAGAGGGGATGGAAAAAACTTCTTGTAGAAAATGGGATGGAAGCCAGGAGATCTGTAGTTGGCGTGGTGGAGGGAAACCATTCCAGTCATAGAGGGGAGTCAGAGAAAATACCAGTGTTGAGAGACTGAGTGTCTTGTTTGTGGAAGAGCATGGAGGTTAGTATGAGTGGACCAAAGAAGACCACACATCTGGAAGTGAAGACTGGAAAGGAAGGAGGGTGCTAACATAAGTGCTTTGAATGCCTAACGGAGGATTTTGTATTTGATAGGGAGCCACTGGAATTTACTGAGTACGGAGGTGACATAGTCAGACCTGCACTATAGGAAAATCAGGTGGCTAAATAGAGGGTGGAGTACAGTGAGGAGAAACTTGAGGCAAGTAGACCCACCAGCAGGCTATGGCAACAGTCAAGGAGTAAAGTGATGAGGGCCCACACCAGAACTGTATCAGTGTCAGAGGAGAAAAGGGGGCGTATTCAAAAGGTATTTTGAAGGGGAAATGGACAGGTCTTGCTTGGAAACACTTTGCGGGGGAGGGGAGGTAATGTAGTTTAAGATACTGAGGAGTTCGTGATGACTCCTAGGTTGCGAGCCTGAGGGACTAGGAGGATGGTATTCTCAATAGTAATAGGGAAGGTAGGATCATAGAAGAGGAGTGTTTAGAAGGGAAGGCAACGAGTTCAGTTTTGGACACGTTTGGTCTAAGATTCAATTAGACATCTAGTTTGAGATGTCTGAAAGGGTAGTGGGAGATTTGAGATTGGAGGTCAGCAAAGAAGTTGAGGCAGGATAGGTAGATTTGCCAGCATTACTAGCAAGTGATGGCAATTAAATCCAAGGGAAATGATAAAATCACCAAATGCAGTAGTATAGAACAAGGCTTCTTAAACTTTTCCAATGGAGAAAAGAAAAGGGCCCAGGACAGAGCCGTGTCGGGCACCAGGGGTTAGTGGGGGTGACCTGGATGATGATCCAGAAAAGTAGGCTGAGAATGAATGGCCAGATTGATAGGAAGAGAGAGCAGTGTCACTAAAACCTTGAGAAAAGAGTATCAAGAAGACGGTGATTGATAATGCCAATGGCTGCAGAGGGGTCTAGCAGAAGGAGGATTGAGAAGACGCCATTGGATTTGACAACTAAGAGAGTATTAGTAACTTTGGAGAGAGCAGTTTTAGTGGAATGATAAGGTCAGAAAACATTGTAAGAGGTTAAGAAGAGAATGAACAGAGAGAAAGTGGAGGCACCTATTGCAGACCACCTTTTCAAGAAGTTTAGCTACAAAGGGCAGATGAGGATATAGGATGAGATTTAGCAGGGATGGAAGGATCAAATGAAGGTGTTTTTGTTTTTTCCAGAATGGGAACACAGAGCATGTTTGTAAACATTATGGTCATAAGGAAGTAGAACCGGGAACCCGGTTTGTCTGGATGGACAGATGACAGACTGGGGGCGGGGGAGCTTTAAATACTTAAAGCCCTGGAGACAGCCAACAATTCGAGTCAGCACTTCTGGTGAGCAAAAGAAAGAGCTTGCAATCAGAAGTGACCCAACTCTACACCTCTTGGTGGTGAGAAAGACGAAATTTTCTCTTCTCATCACAAACTCTGTAGACTATGCCATCTAGCAACAGAACTTTCTTAAAAGAAGACTATGTGGGGCAGCTAGGTAGCGCAGTGGATAGAGCACCAGCCCTGAAGTCAAGAAGACCTGAGTTCAAATTCAGCCTCAGACCAAAACACTTGACACTAGCTGTGTGACCCTGGGTAAGTCACTTAACCCCAATTACCTTAAAAAAAAATGTGGCAATGAAAAAAGAGGCACGGTAAAGAGGCAACTAGGTAGTACAGTGGATAGTGCCCGACCTGAAATCAGAAAGACTCGAATTAAAATCCAACTTCAGACACTAGCTGTGTGACCCTGGGCAAACCACTTAACCTTGTTTGCCTTATTTTCCTCATCTGTAAAATGAACTAGCCGGAGAATGAAATGGCAAAACACTCCAGCATCTTTACTCAAGAAAACCTCCCAAAAATGGCTCACCAAGAGTCGGACACAACTGAACAGCTCTGGAGTAAGATCTCATTTTCAATCTACCCTATATTTGCTGTGTGACCTTTGAGAGATAATTTCCTTTTTCCGAGCCTCATTTTCATATACAATGAGGGGGCTTGGGCTAGATGATTTCTGAGGATTCTAAATCCTAAGAAGTGCTAGAGGAACAATGGGAAAAGAGAAAGTGGTGTGTTAAACAGGATAGGATTTGACTGTGATTTCACTGAGACTCCCAGGTGAGGAAACTCCCTCTACTAATGCAAGTTAATATCTTCTCTGCAATTTGTAAGCTTTGAAAGTGACTAGGGCCAGTCAGAATGTCCTAGATGGGACTTGAACCTAGAATTTCCTGCCTTCGAGGCCAGCTCTCTGTACAGTATGCTTCAGATTTTTTTTTAAAGCAACTATCGTTTTGTCAGTTAACTTCAACGTAAGTTTATTCTAGTGCGCTGGGGATCTTCCATAAAAGTAACTTGCCCAACCAGAGTACAGAGGAGGTGTGGCAGGTAAAGGGCGGGCAGAAAGTAAGGGAGCAGCAAACCCCGCCCCGCCGGCCCCAGCCGAAAGCAGGAAGCGGGGAGCAGTGGAGCTGAGTCCGGCTGTCATCATTGCGGAGAAAGCCCCTCCCCGCCTCGGTCCTAAGTCGCCAGGCCCCTGGCCACGGCTGCCTGGCGACCCGGGAGTATGGGGATTCTCCTCCCGGGGCCGCCGGGACTCCCGTGGCAGCTTGGGCTCCTGTTGCAGCTCCTGGTTGTGCTGTCCCCGGCCGGCTCGGCCCTGCGGCTCCTCGACACCCCGGAGCCAGTCTGCTCGCAGCCGGTGAGTCCGTGCGCCCCGCGCAGACAGCGAGGCGGGGGGCGGGGGGGGGGGGGCGCGAGGATGGACAGTCCGAGCTAGGGCAGCTGAGGGGGAGAGTCTGGGCTAGGTAGAGAGAAGCAGCACCAGGGGCCCCGGGAAAGGACGGTTTGGGGAAGGGAGTTTTGTGGCTGAGACGGGGCAAGAAGAGGAAGAAAACTCCCTAACGAGTCAACTGCCGGGACCAGAGGGAGTCTGGAAAGCGATCCTTCCGTGGAGTTGCACAATCCTAGGATTTAGAACTGAAAGAAGTCTTACAGACGGATCATCGAAACCAAGGGTTCTTAACCCGAGGTCTGCGAACTTCCAAGAGGTCTGAGGATAGATTTAGGGAGGAATGGGTGGGGGGGGGAATTACATCTTTTTAAAAATATAAGTAGTTTCCTTTGTAAGCCTGTGTATTTTATTTTCTACTTTTAAAAGCATCGTTCTATTAAAAGAGGCAGCTAGGTGGCTAAGTGGGTAAGAAAAGCTCAACTTGGAGTCTGGAAGACCTGAGTTCAAGGAAACATTTTCTAACTTAGTAGACCTTTTCGGTGGCCCTGAATTTTGACCTAACAAGTTGTGTAACCTTGGGTAAGCTGCTTAACCTCTTTGTCTGTTTCCTCATCTGTAAAGGGGGAATAATAATTGCACCTACCTCACAGGGTGTCGTGAAGACCAAAGGAGACAAGCAAATTGCAATCCTTAAAGTGCTATATAAATGTTGTTACTGTTATTGTAATTGTAATACAGGGTCCATAGGCTCATCAGACTTCCAGAGAGGTTTATAACATAAAAAAAGGTTAGGAACACCCCAAACCCAAAATTTTACAGATGAAGCAATTGAGGCCCAGAGAGAGAATGTGTGACTTGCCTGCCTTAGCAAAATTTACAGTCTAGTTGCTAAAATTATTGAAGTGCAACAAAGGGCCATTTCAACAGATATGCAGTTACAGTTTCACAGTATGGTGGATAAATGGAGCTCATTAATTCAATAGACATTTATTAAGCTCCTAATATGTGCAGGGTGTCTTTGAGAGCAAAGGGCTGCAGGGGAGTGCAAAGCCAAGTGGCAAGATAAAGTAAAAAGTGGAGGTTTTGTGAACTGACTGACAAATTGCATAACTGGGCAGGCAAATCTGTCTTTAAATTCCAGGGTCTTCCAAGGTCCACTTGGAAAGTGGAATTCTGATTCCTTACACATCAAACCCAGAAGTAGATGACCATTCTCTTGCTTGTGGTTGGCTCCTTGTGACCTTCAGTCTTTAAGGGAAAAGGGGGGAGGGAGGGAAATTGCCAAGGGCCAGCATCAGCTCAAATATCACTGAGGCACTTTGAGCCCACTGAGGTGTGACTTAGAAGTGATGACCCAGCTGTGGTTTTTAAAACCATTTTTGAGAGCTCTCCTGCCCACTGAATATCTCCAGCCCGCAGGTGGATCCCCTTCCTGCCCCTGACCCGCACCCTGTGGTATTAACATGGGGTGTTTGTTAAATCTAATGTGCCGAGCCTGCAGGAAATGTGACACACCTAAGTGTCAGTTAGTGGTCTGTACTTTGGAGAGTGTTCTTTTTTTAAAAAATAACATTGTTCAGCCTATTGCACCACATACATAATGAGGAATATCTCACAATTAGAGATGGGAGGGACTTCAAATATAATTTAGCCAATCCCCTTGTTTTATAGATAAGAAAACCGAAGCCCAGAGATAAAATCACGGTAAATGACAGAACTAGAACTGAAACTCAGGTCTTCTGATGCCAAGTCCAATACTCTTTTCACTGTTCTGTTTGGTGTCTGAGTCAGAAGATAGGAATTAAAATAATGGGAATTCTTCTTATCTGAGCTGGTAGATGATTTGCCAGCTGAGAAGCAAAAGGCATTGGTCATTTGGGAAAAGTTTGGGTGTTTTAAAGTAAAAATATGAAGGATTTGAAAAGATGCTTTTATAGGAACCTCTGTGATTAGCCAAAGCAAAGAAACATTTTCTAACTTAGTGGACCTTCTTGGTGGGTTCTAAGGCTTCCTTATGAAATCTACAGACTCAGCATTCATTTAACAAACATTCATTAAATACCTATAATACACAAACCACTAAACACAATGTGTGTCGTACAAGGTGTTGTGAGCGAAGCTGTTGATAGAGAACCTTATAATAGAATAAGGGAGAAAAGACATATACATGCATGGATGATGTATAGAGGAATATCAAGAGAGAAGAATACGTAAGGATCAGATCAGAAAGAACCTTAAATGGCAGACTAAAGAGTCTGGACTTTATTTAGTAGACAATAGGGAATGATAAGCAATTTTTGAACAGGGGAGTCACAATGGTGAGTGAGACCAGAGAGAAGTACTCATTAGTCAACTTTTAAGCTCTTCTAGACGCATTTCCCTGGGATACTTGTCAGGGAAAAGAAAAGGGTGAAGTCTGTCACCTATCTCACACCCCTCTGTGGCTAGATAATACAAGTGTAATTATCCCCCTTTCAAGTCAAAGTGGTTAGACTCAACTTGGTTATGTGATATACCTAAAGATACACAACTGAATAGTGCTAAAGCCAGGATACAAACTCAGCACTCCTAATTCCAGGTCCAGTGCTTCCTAAGCTTACATTTATCTGGCTCGGAAATGTTTTCCAGTGGTGGCGATGGTTTTGTATGGAACCATTCACATTCTCAAATCCAGCTGTTTTTACAGAATACTATGTTCAAGACAAAGTAGTTTGTAGCCGTGGAAGAAAATAGAGTTGGAGGTGTCATTCTCTGTGTTTTACGAATAAATCTCATCTGGTGATCAAACCCACATCTTTGGCCTTGCCAACACCGTGCTCTGACTAGGCTAACCATTAACCATTCATTAATGTAAACTGTGTAATATAAAACAATAGCTAACAAATAAAGGCAAATAAAACAAGGTTTTTTTTTTCTCTCCTCTCCTTTAAATCTCTTCCGCCACAAGTTTTAAAAAATGCCTTGCCATTTGTTGATATGACTTCTTTTAATGTTGACCTTCTCTGAGGTAGGGTGATATGTGGTTTTTTCTGATGCTGCTATTCTTAAAGAATAGTCAGTTTGAGGCAGATGACCCAATTCTTTCATCACTATTCACTTATTTATTCAATGAACGTTTATCAAGTGTCTACTATGTACAGAGCATTATATTAGATGCTGAGGAAGAGTAACAAAATTATACCATTATTGATATACAGTATTAAACATGGAGGTGGGAAAACAAGGGTTGAAATCAAGAAACAGCAAGTAGTTCTGTTTGGCAGGAATAATATAAGATAAGACAAGGAAAGGCAGATTAGATTGGAGGCAGATTATAGAGAGGCAATTTGGTTAGAGGAGAGAATGTGTATGGGACCAGAGAGAGATTAGGCTAAAAAATAGGTAAGCAGTTTTGATCCTAGAGAACAGATGATGAAACACACCTCCCTCTTATCTGTGGAGAAGTGAGGGAGTGCAGATATAGAATATTTCCTACACTGTCAGGCTGTTGCTGTGTCCATTGATTTTGTTTATCTAAGTCTTCTTTATTTGAAGAGTGGGTTTAATGTGGAAAGGGGGTAAATAGAGAAATGATTGTTGCATAAATGCAACACACACTTACAAAACTTGAAAGAGAAAAAAAAATAAAGACTGTATAATCCAGATTGTGAGAGGCCTGGAATGCCGGGTAAGGAATTTGGTATTCATTCCTGGCCTGAGAGACTCATCTTCCTAGTCCTCTCTAGCAACTGCTACTGTTGGCCACTCTCCTGGTTACTATTTCCCTTCTGGGTTTTCTAAGGATTGATGTCTCCTGGTTCTCTGATTTACTGATTCATCATCTGAGTCACACTCACTACTTGTGGGGTGTCCCTCAAGGCTCTGTCCTTGGGCCCTCTTCTCTCTATCCTCTTTCACTCGGTGACTTTTTGACTTCCTTGTGTGCAGTTCCTGTCTCTATGCAGATAGCTTTGAGATCAGTATTCCCAGATCTTTATATCTAAGTCTCTCTTCTAAGCTCTCGTCCCGCATCACTAACTGCCTATTAGGCACATCCACCTGGATGTCCTGTAGGCATCTCAAATTCAACATGTCCAAAACAAAATTCAGTATCTTTCTCTCAAAACCCATGCATTTTGCAAGCTTCTCTATTGCTGTTAAGAGCACAACTGTCCTTCTAGACACCCAGGTTCACAACCTTGTGGTCAGCCTCAGATCCTAACTCCCATTCCATATATCCTAGCACTTGCCAAATCCGGTTGTTTCTATCTCCACAGTATCTCTCAAGTCCTCCACCTCCTCTCCATTCAGGCTGTACCACCTCAGGCAAACCCTCTTGGCCAGACTATTGCAATAGCTTCCTCATTGGTCTCCTTGCCTCAAGTCTCCCCTCTTTAGCATCTTCCACACAGTGGCCAAAGTAACTTCTCTAACATGCAGGGATCATGTCACACGGCCCACTCCACACTGCTTAACAAACTCCAGTGGTTCCCCAGTGCCAGTAGGTTCAAATACAACCTCCTTTGTTTGGCATTTAAAGCTTCTCAGAATCTGGTTGCTTCCTCTCTTTCCAGTCCTTGCACTCTGCTATCTAGATATACTGACTCACTCAATTCCACATAAAGGACACTCCATTTCCAAAGGGTTTTGTGAGCTTAAATGAGATAATTGGATGTAAAGCACTTTGAAAACCTTAAAGAGAGACATATCAGTTATTATTATTATTAATTATCATCATCATCCTGTCACCAGGCTTCTAGTCTGGTGATGACCATTCTCTGAGCCTTCTAATGCACTCCTGCTGAGTTCAAGCAATGTTTATAGAGCAACACAGGTAAATGGTTTAACAACCAGCCCTCGGTGGGAGGGGGAAGAATCTATGCACACACACTTGTAAGTTAAATCTGCCTTATTAACACTTCCTTAAGTCTAATCAATCAATAAAACAAAAATCAAGTTTTAATTTATAGTGAGTACTGATTTCTTTTATTTTTTTCTTTTTTTTTATTTTTAGGTAATTGGGGTTAAGTACCTTGCCCACAGGGTCACACAGCTAGTAAGTGTCAAGTGTTTGGTCTGAGGTTAGATTTGAACTCAGATTCTCCTGACTTCAGGGCTGGTGCTCTAACCATTGCGCCACCTAGCTGTCCCTGCAAGTACAGATTTCTAAGATATAAATGCTCACACTGAAAATTTAACAGCTTAGAGCTGGGTCCAGCACACCTCTGTCTCTTATCTCCATGCCTTTATGCTTGCTGTTCCCTATCCCTGGAATACACTCCCTTCCCATCTGGTTTCCTTCAAGATGTAGCTAAAGTAACAATGTCTATTTGAAGCCTTTTTAAAATTTGATTTCCTTCCCTCAGATTCTTGTCCCCTCACCTCCCATCTAGTATTTTGTATACAATATGTCCTATATTTTGTGTATACATGTTAACTTCTCCATAAAATGTAAGTTCTTAGAGGATAAGGACTGTTTCACTTTTTTCTCTATATCTCTAGCATTTAGCAAAGTGTCTTAATAAATACTTGTTGATTGATTGGTAACCACACTGAAATAGTGACGTGTCTCTGGCCATTTGTCTTGCTTCAGTTGCCATACCTGTCCCCCTCATTGTCTTAGACACTATGCAAAGAAGACTAGTAGGTAATGCAGCCAGAGCTGAGAGAGAAATTTCATTCAGGGAATCAAGAAGGGGGGGAAATCTCAAAAGCACTACAATTTTTTAGCTATAATTAACTTCTTGTTTTTCCCACAGGGGCTAAACTGTATTGTCAAGAAAAGTAAGTCATTCTTTTCTTTTATTTCCTTTTGGTTTATTAATAAAATGATAATCACTTGCTGAGTTCTGGCAGCAGCACTTTGGCTTTCAGGCTTACATACGGATTACAGTTAACACTAGAGAGTATCCTCAAGCTGGTACAAGTATGCCTTACTTTAAGAATGCCTCCTATGCCAGTATGAACTTCACAAACAGATTACAATTATTATTAGCTTAAAAAAATTCGCCAAGTCTCTTTTAAAGAGCTACTGCCCAAGTGAATTTAAAAGATTCAATTTAAATTCATTTATTAAAATCAATTCTTATGTGAAGTATACCTATGATTTTGCTTGTTTTGTTTGGAACTAGGGAGAAAGAACTTTTCTGGAAAGAGTTCAGGGATTTTGTACCATCAAAGCTCTTAAAGGAACTTTGTCTCTCCCTGGTCTAATCTATTCACAGCTTCCCAATTGGTATGCCCAAAGTACAGGTCTGACTCTGTTGGTCCCCTGCTAAAGAAGCTCTAGTAGCTCTAGGACCAAATAATAACCTTCTCTGTTTGGTACTTAAAGCCCTTCCCTGACTCCAAACTACCTTTCCACCCATATTACATGCTAATCTCCAGGTTCTCAGAGCTCTGTGGTCAGGCCAAACTGGTCTTCTCACTGTTCTTCCCATACAACATTCTAGTTCTCATCTTTCCCAACTCCATGCTTTTACATGGGCAACACACACTCCTCCACCCCTCCCTTAATCTCAGACCCTTAGGATATGCTGGACTTGAAGTCAGAAAGGCCTGAGTTTGAATCCTGCCTCAGACACTTAAAGTTTGAAACCCCGAGTAAGTCACATAACCCCTCTCAGCTTCCAGATTTCTCATCTGTAAAATGGGGATAATAATAGCACCTGCCTCACAAGTGACTATGAAGATCAATGAGATATCCCACCTATTAGAATCTCTAGCTTCCTTCTACACAATTGCTCATCTTTCTCCCCGCCCCCAAATTACCTTGTATTTATTTTAAATATACTTCTGTGTGCATGTGTTGTTTCCCCCTCAATAGAATGTAAGCATCTTGAGGCCAGGGACTCTTTCATTTTTGTCTTTGAGAATTCACTACCCCACACACTTGTCCATTCCCTTTTGATTGTTAGTTCTGATTGTTAGGAATACTCCACCTCATATTAAGCCAAGTTTTGCCTCCCTATAACACCATCTTATTTTCTTATAGAATAAGTCAAGTAAACAACCAACATTTATTATGCTCTTACTATGTGCCAGGCACTGTGCTAAGTATTGAGAACACAAACACAAGCAGAAAGAAAGACAGTCCCTGGTCTCAAGGAGCATACTTTCAAATGGGAGTAGACAGCACATAAAAGGAAGCTGAAAGCCTGAGGCAGGGAAGCCACTTGGGAGGAAGAGATGAAGGTCTGTGGTTGTGGTGGGTCCAGGATGGTAGAAAAAGTCCAGAGAGCCAGGAGTGCAGCCTGGAGAGGAAAGAAGAAGACATGGCTATCCTGGCTATCCTACCTAAAATGGAAGTTTTGGGAGAAACCAGCCAACCCAAATGTAGAGGGTGCTTCCAGTGTAACTCATAGTGCAGGGATGGAGTCATCATCATCATCATCATTTTTATGTAGCAGCACTTAAAGTTTACAGAGCACTTTCTATAAATTATTTCATTTGAACTTCACAAGAACACCAGGACCGGCTGTTGTTTAAGTGACAACATTTATGATATGTTCTCCCCTCCTCAGGACCATTAAGTATTTTAAAACAGTGATCACATGGCCTGGAGCAGTCAGAAAAATCAGCTCCCAAACCAATTAGATTTAGGATCATAGATTTAGAGCTAGAAGAAAATGTAGAGGTCAGTCAGTACAATCCCTGAAGTTTACAATTAAGGAAACTGAGGTTTAGTGACTTCAGGGAAGTTGAGGTCACATAGATAGTAAGTGGCTGAGCCAATGCTCTGACTCCCATTTTGCTCACCCTGCCACAAATTTCTCTATTTCAGGCAATTTGGTCCTCCCTGCCTGCCCTCTTGCCAGGATACAAACAAAAGTTTAACTCTCATTGCAGGTACCTGCCTGGCTAAGAGTTGGCTCGACCCTCTCAACAGGACACCCTCTGGCCCAAGAGATGTCAACGTCTCCTTGGGCTTTGAACACAGCAAAAATGGATACCCGATTCCTGTGATGCACATTGAATGGAAAGTGCGAACAGATGGTAAACGAGGGGATGATAGTCAAAAACATTCCAAAGCCACACATTTTCATTCCTGAAATTAGAATTAGAATTTTGGCTTCTGGTTCTGGGTTCTGACTACTGAGTCATAGGATTATAGAATTAGAGCCAAAAGGGACCTCAAAGGCCATCTGGCCTGACCTCATTGTTTTCTAAATGAAAACTGAGGCCCAGAAGCAACTGCCCAAGGTCATACAGCTCATTAATTTTCAAGCTAAGAGTGGAACCCAGATCCTCTGATTCTCAATCCAGCATTATTTTCATTAAGTATTTATCTACATCTTTGTTCATTAGTAACACCGATTTATAAGTAAGTTCTTCAAAGCACTACTATATGAGAAGCATTGTAACTAAGTGGATTCAAACCTGGCCAAGGCTTGGGTTCAAGATTCATATCTAATGCATACTGACTGTGCCCTGGGCAGGGCTTTTAATCTCTCAGTGCCCCTGAACAGCTCTCCAAGACATTGGTAGAAGTTTTCTTAGTGGAGTTCCCTATACCAATGAAATCACAGTTCTGGCCCCCTCCAAAACAACTATCGCACACATTCTACAATCCCCCCATGGAAGTGACACTAATACATTGACGCTTTGCTGAGCCAGCATGAAGTTCAGCCTTGGCAAATGGTCAATGGTTATTTCCCAAGAAGTCCCTGGCAAATAAATACCAAACATTTACCAACTACAAGTAGCCCATATTTTTGTTTTATTTTATTTGGCAAGGATGGTGGTGGAGAGATGTCTTCCCTTTCCCCTAAAAGAGAGGTAGGTCACTTTTAAGGATGTGTATCATGAGTCATCCCCCAGCTTAGGAAAGGTAGGGCTTATTATCTCGAACTAGCCACTGACTTAGAAGCAAGCACTCCCATCTTGCCAGAGAAAGCCCAAACTTTGTTGCTCAAATTATTTGCCTGCTCGGGGAGGTCCAAAGAGCTTCGGTTCAATGTAGTTTGTTTCTTTTGTTACTCTCTAGGGAATGAGGATTTAGAAAGCAGGAGGGATTGAAGCCCAAGTGTGAGCTGAAATAGTTAAACCGGAAATTAAAAGTTAAGTCAGACCGGCAGGATTCTCATAGCACTGACCAGGTGTTGTGAAGGGAGGTTGTCTGTGGAGGGAGGGGAGGTGTGGTGAGACAGAAGAAAAATGGTTTGTCCCTCTTCCTCCTTGTCTTTGGCAGGCAGCATCCTGTTTCTTCAGGGCGCTCAGATTTCAGTGCTACAAATGAGCACCAACGAGCACTTGTGTGTTGATTTTATGTTTCTGAACCAACTCGAGCAGCAGCTGGCACCGGATTTTAATAGGGTGAGAATTTAGTGTTGCATTTTCCTTGTGTATCCTGTGACCAAAAGATTTGTCTCTGTGTATTTTGAGTGGTGTTCATATTTTATTTTTTGAAGTAATGAGGAAAACTAATTTTAGGGGTAGTCCTTTCATCCTAATCAACACATTGGACTCAGGGAAGAAGAATAGCTAAATAATTTCTGTAGGAAGCCTGATTCTTGATTGACTAAAAGTAAGCCTGGTTATAAATTGGATGTATGACCTTGGGCCAGAACTCCTAGGTGACCCAAGCCCAAATCAATCAAGGACAGTGTGGGATAGGGAAGATGGGATTCTCATTGGAAGGCAACATAGCAGATTTGCCAGAATGTTGGTCCATAGTCAGGAAGACCTATCCAAAACAAAGACCTATAAAGCAACTTCAGCTGTCTCCATGGTCTAGGCTATCCAGAACCTAAAAGAAGGTTAAAAAAAAATGAATTCAATTATCCTGAGCTCACTTAGCACTGCTCCCCTAACTTCTCACATTGCAAGCTGTACTAGAAGAACCAACTATACAACCCAAGGATAAAACCCCACCACCCCATACCCATACCATACCCCACCCCATACCCCTTCCCTCTTCCCAGGTAACCCCTCCCCTTTCCAGTGCCATGGAAACTCCACCAGGCTACAAAAATTTGCTCTATCTACAACAAATAGCCTCAGAAGCAAAAGCCAACCAGAAGCTACAACCCAACAGCAACAGCACAACAAAGCTCCAAGCCAAAGAACTAAGGAATAGAGGAAGCTGGAGTGGACACCAGGACAGGACACCAACATCTTGTGTGAAGTTGGGGGTTGAGAACTGTGCAGCACTCTACCAGCACTGACCCAGAAGTCAGTTGGGGCAAAGACCTAGGCTTGTGAACCCTCAGTCTCCTCATCTATAAATGGGGATAACAGGAAGTATGTCACAGGTCTGTTGTGAGTACCAAATGAGATAATATATAAATGTTCTTTCTACCAATGAGGAGAATATTATGCAAATGCTCCAGGTTTGAAGTCAGGGTTACATATATAAAGTACTTTGCAAACCTTAAAGCACTATATAAGTAGTAGCTATTATTATTATTATCATTATCATTATTATTATTATTATTATTATATGGGGGTAGAGCACAAAGGAGCTAACACTTCTGGCGTAAAGAAGAGGATAGCTAAACTGAGTAGCTTAGAAAGTTTAAGTACTTCCCAACCTGGCAGTGGGTAGTTGTCTTTACCACACATATAAAATTACCTTTCTCTGGTGAATTATTTCTGAATTTGTACATTTTCTTTTCCCTTGTAAAAATAAGCTCTAGAAAACACACTGTTATGGTTTGGCATGTGTGGCAGGTAGATTAGGAGGGAAAGGGAAAGAGAAGGCTGCTGTCACTAGGCATTCAGTTATAGGAGCAGCAACAGAAGAGGGGAAGATAATCAGGAATCAGAAATGGCAGATCTCTCAACCTGGGGATCCAAGCAGGGTCGGGGACCTAGAAGAAAGAAACGAGCACATGTTAAGTGCCTCCTCTGTGTCAAGTATTATGCTAAGCACTTTAAAAAATAACATATTTGATCCCCCCCAACAACCCTAGGAAGTAATTGCTATAATTATCCCCATTTTACAATTGAGGAAACTGAGGCAGACAGGGGCTAAGTGACCTGCACAGGGTCATAGAGCTAGTAAGTGTCTGAGATGGGATGTGAACTCGGGTCTTCCTAACACAAGGCCCAACACTCTTCACTGAGCCACCTAGTTGGCTCTAGGCTCATAATGCCATAGAGTAGTCGTTCTAGTTCAATTGAAGTTCAGTAATCGTTGTAAATATTTAGAAGGTAATGAAATGTGAAAACCCTGGAGCTAGGTCTCCTGAATTGGTTCCAAAGAAGAGCTAGTATCTCAGGAAGAAAGCTGGTCAGCAAGTCCTTCACATATGACTAGAAGGTGAACCCTACCACTGGCTACAGGATAAAGATGGCGAATTTAGGAAAGTATAGAAATGGATTCTTCACACCACCAATATGGATTCCCTCCTGCACCCCCAAACAAAGGTTCCATCGAGCTCTTCTAGGATTCCAGAGAATACAGAATGTTCCTCACCTGGTAACATTGTGTGCTGTACCCTTTCATGCATCTCTTTACTAAAATCACACTGAAAGGAAAACAGGTTAGGAGAATAGCATTATCTGCTCAATTTCTTCCCACTCTTGTTCCCATTTCTGATTAAATGGGGGTTTGGGAAGGGGAATGCACTGAAGAAAAGAACTCAGGCCAGTACAGAGCTCCTGCAATGCATGGCTTCTCTAGCCATGAACTCATAGACATGAACGTTCCACCGCTGAGCGGGCTGCTCAAAATTTGATGACTTCATCAGTGGTTTGTGACTGTAATTTGATTTCTTTGAAGCAAGCAGCTAATTGCAAAACTGTTTAGTTATTAATGAGTGAAACTTCCCACATTCCAGGGGACTAAGGCTCCTCACTTTTATTTTGGGGGAGGTTAAGGGACTTTTCTAATATCCATGACAAGGCCAAAAATAGAAAACAAACCTGATATCCTCCAATCTGCCCTGGCTACTTTGGATTGCACTGCTTTACTGGTGGTGAGATCTCTAGTACTGCTGCTTAGATGAATGGCAATAACCCTCAAGGTCACAGGATTTAGAGTGAGGTCACCTCCTATGACCTGCTAGAGCAGTTAGGAAGGAACTTTCTCATCTAAACCCTGAAGGTGCCTGATTCCCAAGAGGAGTTTGTGTGTATTCCCAGTCTTACCAAACTCAAGAAATTCTCAGGCCTGGCCCCCTCTCTAAGAGGTCGGAAGGTATCTTTCTTATTGCCCCAGTAACTCCCCATCTATTAGTCCTCTGGGTCTGATAAGGATGGGATCTGGACCCCGAAAAAGAAAAACCTTGGATTTTCCCATGTGGCCAAATCTCTGGCTTCACCTGAAGCCATAATACCATCAACTGACCTTTCATCATGGCTAAACCCAATCTCCAAATTCTCTGTTACCCTTAACCTAGCCCTCCATTGTCTTACCTCCCTATGGCCCTGGCCATTTCCCACCCTTAATCCTGGCTAGGCTCCATTTTCCCTTGGCCACAGGGTCCAGGTCCCTGGCATTCTATTACCTCACAGTCCCTGCAGACTATTGGCCACTCCTAGATTTCTCCCACAGTCTTTCTGTATATAAGGTCCATCTTGTCTCCATTAAAGGGCTTAGATTCTTAAAACCTAGCCACTGCTCAGATTTTTATCTGAGCCAATCTAGCCAATAGGTCACTAATGTGCAGACTCTTTAAGAGTCTGCCCAATATGACGGATATTCTAATAAACCTTGTCTTTAGCTGAAAGAAGGCTTGGGTGGAATTCTTTCGGGCAGGACCCACATGTTATGATTTTGGGGTCCCAGCACCCCTAAACCCCTAAAACTCAACAGGCCCATGAAGCTATCCATTGCAATAGCTGCATAATAGTTTGAGAGTTAAAGGTGATGGGATGAGTTATTTCATCTCTTGCCTCAAATTCTTCTCTACCTTGTGGCTATTGGAATTCCATACCCATAAATAATTCCCACTGCCAGACCAAAGCTTAAAAAAAATAGATTAGTATCTTTAGAAGACTTGGAGGGGATGGGTGGGGGGAGAGGGGTGATTTTTTTTTATCATGGATGGAAAAGATATTTGACTATAGTGCCTGCCCCTTTACCTCTCTTCACTCTCTTTTTCAGTGGCATTTCGCCTTCAATAACTTTGTGGTGGAGCCTGGTCAAGAATATGAGATAACAGTGCATCACCTGCCCAAACCAATGCCTATTGGAGATCCAAACCATGAGTCTGAGTTTTTCCGGGTGCCTGGTAAGAGACCTCCCTGTTCAGGTGCACCTTTCCTCACTCTATTTTCAGGCTCTTAAGAAGAACTTGCAAGTTGTTTAGACTTTAGCTCCTCTACTCAGCAAAACCCAAACAATTACTGCTATTGTCAAGCTGAATCTCCCTAAAGAAGAAAACAAATGTCAAAGATGTTGGATTGTTCTGCAGTGTCTGGCTTGAAGCTTCATCCCCCTCGGGGCAAGCTGAACCCCTTTCTTAATTATTGAGAAACCAGCATTGGGCAGGAAGGATCCCAGGAGAGTTGTACATATACAGAAATCCCTCTTTCCTTTTAGGGAGTAAAACTAACTCCAGGGAAACCAGCACAAAAATCACCCAGTGTCAGCATATCTTGAATAAACTGCCATTCCCTAATCATAATAATGGCAGATGTTTATCATAGCACTTTAAGGTTTGCAGAAAGGGTCAAATTAGATGACTTTGAAGGCACCTTCCAGCTCCAGATCCTATGTATAGTCACAGCTCTGTGAGGTAGAGTTTTTTTCCCCTTTAACATATATTTTTATTTTGCTAAATATTTCCCATTATATGTAAAAAATTTTTAACATTCATTTTTCTAAATTTTGAGTTCCAAGTTCTTTCCTTTCTTCCCATCCCTCCCCCATCTCTTGAGAAGGCAAGCAATAGGATATCAATTATTCATGTGAAGTCATGCAAAACATATTTCTATATTAGCCATATTGCAAAAGAAAACTTGCATAAAAAACCCCCAAGAAAAATAAAGAAAGTAAAAAGTATACTTCAGTCTGCACTCAGAGTTTCTTGGTTCTCTCATGGTGAATAGCATTTTTCATCATGGGTCCTCTGGAATTGTCTTGGATCATTGCCTTGACAGTTGATCATTCTTATGATATTACTGTTACTGTGTACAATGGTTCTGCTGTGAGGTAGGTCCTACAGGTACTATTTTCACCATTTTTCAGATGAGGAAACTGAAGCTCAGAGAGGTAAGAGGTCATCACACAACTATTAAGTGTCAGAGGCAGGATTTGAACCCCAATCTCTCCTGATTCCATTTTTCTTGCCGCTGAGCCCTGCTGCCTCCCACCTAAGTCCATACATACCATAAAACCATAGGATCACCTAGGTAAAAAATAGCTCCGGACAAATTTCAAACTTACATCTCCTGACTTCAATAATATTTCATACCTGGACAATTGCGATTGATTCATAACTGGTTTCTAATTAACACATGTTTATTGAGTACTTACTCCAGACAAAACACTGCCCCTACCTCCAATCCATCTTAAATAGATATCTCCCAGAATCATAGAATTATAGAATTTAAGAGCTGGGAGGAACCTAAGAAAACATCTATCTAGTTCATCTACTTCATGTCACAGATGGAGGTGTTAGAAAAATCTGAAACAAAAATCTACTTCAGTGAGTGAGTGAAGGAAAGCCTTTATTACACATCCCACAAGAGAAGTGGGCACAACACACTCTAGGAGCACGTGGGCACTGGTTCAGTGGTTCAATCAATTTTTAAATAGTTAGTAAGATCCATACTTCACCTACCAGGGCTATGATTGGTCTAGTTCATCTGAGTTACACTCTTCCTGGATAGCCCATGGCATGTTCTTCCATGTTCTGTTAACTCCGCCCATTTCATGGGTCCCATGATCAAAAATGGTGACTCTGTCGGCCCTCAGGGTGTGTCAGTTAATATTCAATAAGCTTATTAAGCAAGTGCAGTGGAGAAAAGGTTTTGCTCTCTTGAGGCTCCATCCTTGACAACCCCACAGGTTGCAACTGGTTTAGCCTCCAGGGCTCTTTCTTGAGGAACTAGTTGTTTACGGAAAGTTTGGAACACTTCTGATGAGTTGAGGGACTATCCACAAGATCTTGGAATTTCTTATACTGTTGTGGAAGCTTAACCCCCTAAAATCTTTCTTACAGAGGAAACAGATCAAGAGAAGAGAAGTGATGGGTCCAGGGTTGTATAAATGACATGCTATTTTGCACACATCAGCCATCACCTTCTCAAAAAACTTTGGTTTCCCATTGCTTATGCTGCCTAGGTCCAATGCTTAGCCAGGTACTAGAGATGCCTCTGCCCCCCCCCTCCCCACTCACAGACACACACACACACACACACACACACACACACTTTTGTCCCAGCCTTCTCCAAATTCATCTCCTGCCTCACTGCCTTTCACTCCTGCTGTACCCCCTGTGTGGAATTCTCTTTCTTCACATACCAAAGTTCTCTCTTTACTTCAAGAATTAATTCAACTCCACCTCCTGTGTAAAGCCTCCCCTGACCACTCCAATCACCAGTGAGCTCTCCTTCTTCTGGATTCCCGTACCACTTATTGCTGGCACCCCTGTTTTGCACTTAGTGTATACTAAATATTATTGTAATATACCCTTTTTTAATGCACAACCTGATTTCTCAGCTAGATTTTTAAGTTTCTTTGAGAGCTCAGGGACCATGTCTTATGCCTGTCCATGCCCTTATGGTCTGGAATGTAGAATATGCTCAATGTTTGTTAATATTAATGTTGAGCCCCTCCTTTCTGGAGTACCTCTTCTTCCCAACCCCTTCCCCAGTACTAAAGAGGGAACTGATGTGGTAATTCTTTTTTTTAAAATTTATGGAATGAAACAAGCATTTCCATAACAGAATAGTGAAAAAAAAAAAAAGATGATTGCATATGAAACTGCAAATCTATTACGTACACATTTTGTGTGTGTGTATAAAAAATGTTTTTATACATATTTCTGTTTATTAGTTCTTTCTCTGGATGCAGGTAGCTTCTTCCTTCATATATCCTTTGTGGTTAATTTGGGGATTTATCATAGTCAAAATGACTTATTCACTCAAAGTTGTTCTTAAAACAATATTGCTGTTACTGTATACAACATTCTCTTGGTTCTGCTCATTTTTTTTGTGCAAGTCTATCCATGTTTTTCTAAGAACATTGATCTTATCATTTCTTACAGTACAGTAGTATTCCATCACAATCATATACCACAACTTTTTCAGCCATTCCCCAATTGCTGGGCTTCCCCTCGATTTCCAGTTCTTTGCAGCTTCTTGTAGCATTTCCCAAGTCAAAGAGAAAACATTGAGGTAGTATGGAGGCTGAGGAGGAGAAAGAAATAAGGAATGAAAAAGTGAGAAGATTACTACCAAGGAATCAAAGGCTTTCCTATTTTACTAACAGTACGTGAAGGCAATCTAGAAGGCAAGAAGCTCTAGAGATGGACTGGAAAGAGTCAGGTCTGAAATGATCTCAAGAAAAATAGCCTTGAATAAAAACTATCTAAAGACTGTGGTTAAGTTAGGTTAGTCCAAGACCCTCTTGGTTTACCCTCCAAAGAGTCTTCCATGCCCACCAGCTGGAGCTAAAAACATAACTAGTACTTTTACTCTAAGAGGAACTCTTTAATCCCAAAGAATTTTGAGGGGTTCATCACTGAGTTGACCTCTCTGACATGGAATTCCTAAGCAGACAGTTTTTCCTATAAAGAAATAGGTTGGTACTAAGTCTGTATTCCAAAGCAATCATAAAAAAGAGAAAAGAATCTACATGTACAAAAATATTTATAGCACCTCTTTCTGTGGTGGCAAAGAATTGGAAACTGAGGGAATGTCCATCAGCTGGGGAATGGCTGAACAAGTTGTGGTATATGAATGTAATAGAATACTATTGTGCTATAAGAAATGATGAGCAGATGGATTTCAGAAAAACCTAGAAAGACTTAGATGAACTGATGCTGAGTGAAGAGAACATTGTACACAGTAACAGTAACACTGCGTGATGATCAACTGTGATTGACTTAGCTCTTCTCAGCAATACAATGATCCAAGACAATTCCAAAAGATTCATGACAGAAAATGCTATCAACATCCAGACAAAGACTATGGAGTCAGAATGCAGATTGAAGCATATTATTTTCACTGTTTTGGGGATTTTGTGGCTTTTCCCTTTTGTTCTGTTTCTTCTTTCACAACATGACTAATCTGGAAATATGTTTCCATGATTGCACACGTATAACCTGTATCAGATTGCTTGCCATCTTGGGGAGGGAAGGAAGAGAGGGAGAAAAATTTGGAATTCAAAATCTTACAAAAATGAATGTTGAAAACTATCTATACATGTAATTGGAAAAAATAAAATACTATTTACAAAAAGAAAAAAAAAGAAATAGGCTAATGCTCCCAGGGTTTGCAGTTTGAAAGCGTCTGCCTCACAGCCTGATACCTAATAAACTTTCTTTTCTTCCTCCTTTGAAGACTGCAGGGACCCCAAAATGAGAATGACTGCCACCTGTGTGAGCTCAGGTAATTGCTGTTGTTCTCCCCTTTCTGGGGTTGTTGAGGTTTAAATTTGAAGTGGGGGTGGGAGATGAGGGGGTCAAGTATGCAACCCCTGAAAAGGTGCCTAATGATCATCCCCTCTGCCTCTTCCCTGATTTGTTTAATTTTTTTCTGAGTTTTATTGGTGTCTTGTTTTTTACGAGAGTCATTTCCTAAAGCAGTCCACCACCCCTTTCAAAACTTTCCCTTGTAACAAAGAAAAAGTTAAACAAAACCTAGAAATGCAGCAATTACATCAGATAGTGTGTAACATTCTCTGCCCATAATCTTCTACCTCTCCATGGAGAGAATGGCAGTTCTTTTCATCTGCTGTCTTCCTGGCCCCTTTCTGCACTTCCTGCAGGAAGCCTGTGGGAGCCTGGCATCACAGGAGAAAGGCTAACGAACAACTCCCTGCTTGTGAGTTTTAACCTGTGGAGTGAATCAACCACTTATAAGATCCTCGTGAATGGTTTTCCAGACACAGAGACCAGCAGCTGTTATGAAGACCTTCAGTTCATTACCCAGGTAACTTCCCCTTTGAGACCAGCCCCAAACCGATTACACCCGGATACCTTCCTCCATCAATCCCAGTGCAAAGTGTGCTGGACTGAAACTAGGGAGACCTGGTTTGGAGTCCTGGCCTTGCCACTTGTTATTAATGTTTAAATACCCCTTTAAGGTTTGCAAAATGCTTTAATACATTATTTAATTTGATTTTCACAACAACCCTATGAGGCTAGTATTATTATCCCCATTTTACAGATAAGGAAACAAAGAAGTTAACCAGGTTAGTGCAAGGTCATATAGTTAATAAATGCCCAAAGTAGGATTTGAACCCAGGTTTCCTGGCTTATAAGTTCATTTCACTACCTCTCTTATTAACTCTGTGACTTTGGAGAAATCATTCCATCCACTAAAGCTAAATTTCCTCATTCCTAAAATAAACAACCTGTCATCACATCCCCAGCCCCAAAACTTCCACTGATAGCTGTCCTTTCCTTTTTTTCCCCCTATGCCCTTCCCTAACCTATCCTACCTTTTCTCTCCATTGCCTTTTCTTCTTCCCTTCTCTCCCCAGCCTACACAAGAAGATTTCCACCATCGGATAAATGTTACATTCCCCTTGCAAAATGTGAATACCTGCTGCCAGTACAGTATACAGGTGAGACCCTGAGTCCAGGGAATGGCCCCGTCAAAGACAGCGGTGAATGGGTCGTACCTTCCTGCAGTGAGGGTCAGGAAGTTAGAATGGTCAAAGGGAACTCTGAGAATGCAGTGTTGTTCTCTCTCCAAGGAGAGAAGATGGATTCTCTGCAAATAAGGTGCTCTAAAATTTTCTCAGTGCTCCTTCTCTACCCTATTTGCTTCCATCCCAGAGTAATCTACCGCATGGGCTTTAGTTGGTTGATTTGGGGTAGAAGATCAGGTGTAGAAATTCTCTAAACTTGAGAAGAGGAGCCTTTGATCCTCTTCTGCTTGCTGGGAGATCCTGATAGAAGAGTTACTTGGAAACCCTATAGTACATTTCATAGCAGCAAAACTTTCCATTGCTAAATTCAACAGACAATATTGGTTCAATTTGTTCAAGTCAAATCACATGGCTGTTATTTCCCCAAGCAGCAGAAGGGCACACTTGCATGTGCAATCACCTACATTTTTTGTGTTGTTTTTGCTTACCCATTTTGGGACTTTCTGCAATTTTTGGAGGGAGGTTGCTTGTGTTGTCTTTGTGCTGTTCTTGCCCACATATTTGAATATTTGTGTGGGTTGGACATTAAAATTTATGGTATGCATTTTTTTTTCTAAACTAAAAGAAACTCTCTTGTAGCCAATTTCCTGTTCAGACATTCCCTGAAGAGTCTCTTGTTTGCACAAGGCCAACAGTAGACGGTCAGTCAGCTAGCATTTACTAAGTGCCTAGGTTACTCCAGGTACCCAAGGCTGACTGTCTTCTCTCTTGTTTCTCTGTTACCCCCAGATCCAGCCATTCTTTCAGAGTTGCCATAATGACTGCCTTAGACACGCACTGTCCATCCCTTGCCCAGTGCTACCATCGCCAACACCCAGTAAGATGGGTCCCTTCCTAACTGAGTCATTGCTGGGAGGCATGGGGAGGGGCTGGAAAGGGACAAGAGTTTGGGCAGATTGCCAGCCTGTATTCTGGATAGCTTATAACTTTTTTTTTCCTTTTGTCCTTTCTTTCTTCATTTCGCAGCCTGCGCTCCAGGTAAGCGAGCCTAAGTCTTGTCCTAGAGCTTTGCACAGGGACACAAACGTATCATGTAAGTAGCTACCTTTTGAGACTGAGACAGTAGAGGAACTAGGTGACCCTATAAGTTATTTGAAAAACACTACCACCTTGCCGGCTCTATGGCCTGTTGGGGTGCCCATTCCCCTTGCTGTGTCAGCTTTCTCACTTGCAAAACTCAATCCAATAAGCATTTATTAAGGGCCTCCTATATATGGAGAGCGCCATGAAAATTGACATGTGACACTGTAGGTCCTTGCCCCCTTATAGAGCATACAGCGTAATGTAATAGAAGCCCCCCCCCTTTTTTATGCATTTGAAGGTTTTACAAAGCACATTCATCACAACTCTGATATGATACAATTATTATCGCTTGCATTTTAGAGATAGGGAAACTGAGGCTATGAAAGGTGACATGGTCATAGAAATAATAAATACTAGAGCTGGTACCACAAGCCAGATCTCCTAACTTTGGAGTTCAGTGCTCTTTCCACTGTATCAAACTTACTCTTGCAAAATGTTGGAATGTGGAGTTATTAGCATCTGTACACGCTGGTATGGATCATAAACATTGATTGATTGATTCAGGGAGGATAGACTCTGAAAGACCAGGAAGGAGGGGCACCAGGGTTGTTAGATAAAGTCCTTCCTTCTATCTCTCACTGGTTTCCTTTTGCCATAGATGATGTGTCACTGTGGATTTATTGGTTTATCACTGGCATATGTATCCTGCTGGTGGGCTCTGTCATACTCCTGGCCATTTGCATGACTCAGAGGAAGCCTGGTAAGGAGCAGAGTAGCTGAGGCATTGAAATGCCCTTAGCTTTTAGTTTTGTGCTTTGTTTCATCTATTGCTGTCCCCCTTTTCCTTCTTCCCACTGCCCCAGGGCTAAGCACCCTTTGTGAGGCTGAGGCCGGGTTACCCTTGACCAGAATCCTTCACTCCCAGATCAGATAGAGGCCTCCTCTCCCTCTCTGTCTCCTCCCCATGTCCATTGACCACAGATGAATTCCCAACAAGTCGTTACTAGGATGGAGTTCCCCTAGAGTAAAAGGTCAGTTAGTCACAAATGAAATGCTATAGTTAATAATCACTGTAATTAAAACTGAGGATGAATATTTGAGATTCTCACAGTGTTCCTTGGTTAGCACTACATATACTCTAAGCAAATTAAATACTGGGCCTGAAGTTCAGAAAGATTTGATTCTAAGTTTCCTGACCAGTCCCCTTCCTCTATGTCACCTGAACACATCATTTTACTTTTGTAGGCCAGTTTCCCTTACCCCCCCAAAAAGGCAGGAAATTATTATAATAAGAGGTTAATTATTGAATAATAGGTTGTCTTGATTATCTAGTTAGGATGACATCCTGATCCTTTAGTTCCCAATTTCTTTTTTATTATAATAATTTTGACCACTTCCTCAGGAGTGAATAGATGATAGGATAGAAAATGCTGTTCTGTCCCTTTTGCCCAGTATGAACAGCCCTGGGGGTGGGGGAGGGGGCTAAAAAGGTAGAGAGTGAAATGAATGTCTTAAATGTTTGCGTTGGTTTTTTCATGGACATGGGTAATTCTATGTCCTCTCTTGGCAGACATGCCTATTAGTAAGGGATGATTTTATTTTTCTTAAGCATTGCAATCACTGTGGTTTAGGATTGCTTAAGACTATTTCCCTTCCTCTTCTCAAAAAATATAAGGAGGAAATGTCAATAAAGAACTCAGCAAAGACTGCTTGTAAACATTTATTTATCTGTACAAGACTTAAGCTCTTAGCACGGATGCTTTCGGGGAAGATACACTCCCTGAAGTGCACATTCTGTAATATGTGGGATAGGAAGAGTACGTCTACAAGGGAAATTAGGTTGAATCTGGACTTGGTCCCAGATTAGGGCTCAACATTCATTTATTTCATTGTTCTAGGCCAAAGTCAGGCTTCCTAGGTAGCTCCTGCCACACCTCTTCCCCCCAGAATTGTGTAAAGCTTCCCTGTGGTAACCAGTGATACATTCCCCTCTTAGCTTTTCCACCAGTTGGGACTAGGGAGACAGAGGTGAAGGCGTGAGTGCAGGAACTCTCCCATCCCTATTTTTGCCATACTGTGTCCCCTCTTCCCTTCTAAGAGAGCAGTTCTAACATAAGACAAAGTCCTTTGTTACTCTAATTTATTGTTTCATTTTAGAGTTTTCCTCTGATAAACCTGAAAACGACACCAAATACCCTGGCAAGTACCTCTTTTTTGTTGTTGTTTGTTTGTTTGATTGGTTTTTGGTCTTTGTTTTGGATTAGGTGATTTTTTTTCTTTGGGAGGGTAGATTTTTTTCTTAAGAGAAGAGCAATAGGAAAGCTAATTCTTGTTATGTTTTGGGTGTAACAGCCAATCCCCTATCACAGACCATTCTAAAATCCCTTTAAGAGAAGTCTCACAAAGGACCCATTCCTCATAAAAATCCTCAAGATACTTCCTTGTATCCACAATGGGATTTCAGAAACAGTGGCTGTCCTAGGCAGCCCCAAACATCAAGGTAGAGAAAGAATCATTATAGAGAAAAAGCAAGGTGAAAGGATTGTATTTTCACAGAATCCAAGTTGGAAGAATTTAATTCAATTCAAATCAACATTTATCAAATACTTATTACATAGGAGGCACCATGCTATGTATTGAAGATACAAAGACATAAACAAAACAGTCCCTTTTCTGCCCTTAAGGAGTTATTTTACTGATAGAATACGACATGTATACAAACAAACATAATACAAGGTAATTTGTGAGAAGGAAGAGCAGAAAGAGTACCAGTAATGAAAGAAGGCTTCAGAAAGGAAATGCTTCCTAAGCTGAGCCTTGAGGCAAGGTAAGGATTCAGAGAGGTGGGGTATAATCAGAACATGTGGAATCACCTGTATGAACCCTGAGACGCAAGAGACAGAACATTTGGTTCAGGGAACAACTATTGGTCTCATTTGGCTACAACACAGATTGTGTAAAAGGGAATAATATGAAATAAGGCTTAAAAGATAAGATGGAGCCAGATTGTAGAGAGCTTTGATCACCACATTGAGGAACTTTTTTTTTTGTATCCCAAAGAATATCCCAGGCCCACCAAAGGTTTTTGAGTAAAGGAGTGACTATGGCCAGAACTATGCCTTAGGAAGATTTTTTTGGCAGCAGTATATAGGATGGGTTGGAAGGGCAGAGAGATTAAAGGCAGGGAGAACAAGTAAGAGGCTATGATACCTGTCTAGGAAAAATTTTGGAAGCCATTTGGTTCAACCCCTACATAAACAGGAATTCCCTCTATAACATTCCCAACAAACTTCTCTTTGAAGTCCTCTAGAGATCTAGAATTTACTACCTCTAGGGACTGCCTACTTTTATACATCTCTAATTTTTTTCTCTTCTCTATAATTTCAAAATCTACCTCTCTGAAGTCTCTCAAGAGAAGTATCTCTGCATATTGAATATGTTCCATTTCATGAGCCTTCCCTCTGATTCTTTTTAAAATTATGACCGTGATGAAGTATAAAGTTAAGGGAGTATGATGAGTACTGAAACTAAAGAAGAGAGGCGGCAGTTTCCTGAAAAAGACAAACATGTTTGATTTTTTTTTAAGTTTCAGTGCATTTGTTTTGCCCTAAAATGTCATTATTCTAACTACAAAAATAGGCAAAGACCTCTGTTCCTCCAGTATAAATGAGCTCCCTTGGTGCTACATAGTACAAAGCCTTAAGCATTTGGCAGTCTCAACAGACAGACTGGCTCATGAGCTTGGGCTCCATATTTCAGCCAGTGGTACCAGCATTGGAAAGGATACCAATTTAAACTATTGAGGTGGGGGGACTATTCTTTTTTCTTTCAGATATTGCACCCGTGGACAACCAGATTCCTCCACCCTTAAAGCCCCGGAAAGTCTGGATCATTTACTCAGCTGATCACCCCCTCTATGTAGATGTGGTAGTCAAGTTTGCCCAGTTCCTCATCACTGTCTGTGGTACTGAAGTGGCCCTGGACCTGCTAGAGGAGAAGTTGATCTCAGAGGTGGGAGTCATGGCTTGGGTGAGTCGACAGAAGCAAGAAATGGAGGAGAGCAATTCCAAGATCCTCATCCTGTGTTCCCGAGGTACCAGAGCCAAGTGGCAGGCAATCCTTGGCTGGGAAGAGCCTGCTGTTCAGCTCCGGTATGACAAGTGGAAACCTGCGGGGGATCTATTCACAGCTGCCATGAATGTGATCCTTCCAGACTTCAAGAAGCCAGCCTGCTTTGGCATGTACGTGGTCTGCTACTTTGACGGCATCAGTGATGAGGCTGATATCCCTGACCTATTCAACATCACCTCTAAATACACACTGATGGAGAAGTTTGAGGAAGTTTATTTCCGTATCCAGGAACTAGAGATGTTTGAGCCAGGTCGAGTGCACCGGGTTAGGGAGATCACTGCTGAAAACTATCTCCAAAGCCCCAGTGGCTGGCAGCTCAAGGAAGCAGTACAGAGATTCCAGGAATTTCAGGTCAAATGCCCCAACTGGTTTGAACAGGAGAATCTCTGTTTAGAAGATGAAGACAACTTGTCATTGCTGAGTGGAGAGATGATTGAAGAGTCACCATTACCACCAGGAGGGAGAATAGTGAAACAGGTGCCTCTGGTACAGGAGCCTTCTCCTGGGGAGCTTTTGGTGGTGGACCTCTTCATTAATGAGGAAGAAGGGGTCTCTAGACTAGACACTCAGTTTCTGTCCCAAGGGGCTACCGTCACCCACCAAACAGTCATCCCCATAGAAGAAGCCCAACTGACTTCTGTAGTGGAGCCCTTACATAGGAATGGTGATAGTAAAGCCAGGAGACAGACAGTGGTAGGTGAAGATGACATGGAATGTGTCCCACTGATGGAGACCAGTGTTCCCCATCGAAATAGCATATTCCTCCTCCCCATGGACTCTGAAGCTTCCCCTCTCTCCAGTACTCCAGTTCCTTCCCCCAACTGCCTCCCAGCTCCAGTGAGAGAACAGCTAGAGGGCTTAATGTACTCCCTCTTCCAGCAGAGTCTAAGCAACCCAGGTGAGGAAGAATGGGAAAGACAGCAGCTGGTCTTCAATGACCCTTATACACCCTATGAGGAAGAACAGAGGCAGTCAGTGGAGTCTGATCAGGGCTACATCTCCAGGAGCTCCCCACAGCCTCCTGATGGGTTTATGGAAAAGGAGGAGGAGGAGGAGGAGGAGGAGGAAAAGGAAGAGCAGGATGCAGAGATATCTACAGAGTTTCTCTCTCCCAGTGTTTTGGAGAATCTGAAGAGCCTTCAACAGCAACTGTTATTCCAGGAGATACAACAGAGCTCTAACTGGGGCTATCTAGATGGAAGGAGATTATCTACAGAATTGCAGCCATCCTATTAAGTGTGTTATAGGTCTGCGTCATCAAAGACAGTGAGAAAGAGAATGCATACCTATAATTCTATCTTGATTCTAATGATGAGAATCTCAGGAATAAATTTTTCTCTCTTGCAAATGTAAGTGTATTCCTCCTAAAATTACCCCATGTAAACATGTGTAACTCTTTCCCAGTGACTTGGCACTGAAGTACCAATTAATTTCCAGTGATGAGCTATTGCTGCCTATATATGGGGGGGGGGGGAATATTGATAGGGAAGAGGAAAAAAAAAGAAAGATATAAAATACCAAAAGGAGAGAAGTCTAAAACCCTCAGTTCTGTTTCTGGTGTTAATGTAAGCATAAAACAACTAGGTGATGGGAGAGGGTTCCCTTCTTTTCTGAGTTGCAGTAAGAAGTTTTTCAGATAGTCACTGGGATGGATCCCTAGATTTGCAGCACCCTGAGATAAATTGAGATCTGGACTCTCATAGTGTCCCACTTAAAGACTTAAAGTCCCACAGCCAAAGAACTACAGGTGTGAGAGGCTAAGGAGTGTTTGACAGTGCAAAACCGCAGACTGATGTTAACTTAATGAGGAAAACCTTCTGAGGAAAAGTCATCCCACAGACTTAAGTGTTCAATGTGTATTTAATATTACCTTCCTTTCAAACCAGAATGGCACTCTGAGGCTCCATTCTTGCACTGACCCCTTGGAATGGACTAGAATACTCAGAGGACAGTAAAGCTGCAAGGTGCCATAAAGATCATCTATTCTGCTTTTTTTGGGGGGGGGGCCTAGGCAATTGGGGTTAAGTGACTTGGCCAGGGTCACAGAGCTAGTATGTATTGTGTGTTGTGTGTCTGAAACTGGATTTGAACTCAGGTCCTCCTGACTTCAAGGCCAAGCTCTATCCACTGCACCACCTAACTGCCCCAAGATCATCTATTCTAACCATTTTTTTTAGGAGATATGGAAATTGAGACCCAGATTGCTGAATTGCCACTATTACTACTACTACTGCTGCCCACTTTTACTCCCCCATGAAGGTTGGGTCACCATAGGGTGACTGGTACCTTTGGTTATAGGGTTTGTATTCCTAATATTATAACTCAAGCACCCCACCAATGTGGGGTCATACAGTTGACCTAATTAATTAGCTTTTGCAACAATGTTTACTAATGTGGTGTGATCAAATAGTAGATACAAACATTTCTCCCATAAACCTGAGTTATACTTTTTCACAAGTACATAGGAAGAGTTGGGTCACACTCATACAGCACAATGGTGGTGAAACACATGAGTGGGATACATATGTGGCAAAGGCAATTCACACTTCCTGGTATGAAGTTCCTCCCTCATCTCAGTTTTGTTCCACTCAATTATGTGGCAACAAGAAGAGCAAGGTAAAATCTAGATGTTTATAGCTTCACCTTGGCCACATCACTCTTCACCTGGAGCTATGTCTATAGCTTCTTATTGGCTTCTTGCCAAAAATCTCTCAGATTGCCAAAATTTCCGTGCAATTTTCCCCAGCCTCCTCAAGAAGCACATATTGTCATATGTTTCTATATTGATATCATTTGTCAGGTTTCTCCACTGCCAGAACCATAGTGATGATATGCTCTTGGGCTGGAAGCATAATTGTGTCCTGTTTATTTCTTGTTCTCCTTTATTTTGGGCCATTTCTTTATTTAACACACCACCACCCACAGGGCTTTCCATCTAAATGTCAAGCAATACTGAAAATTCCTTCAGACATAATTTTTCCTCAATCCACAGCACTAGCTAAGAGTAAAGGGTGCTACCAATTTTTCTCTCAGAGTTCTTTGACCCAGGACATTCCATAGCCTCTGCCCTTGGTCCAAGTCATCAAAGTTTTATGAGTCTTTTTGTATACTTGTACATTTACTGGTGTATTATTTTGAATGATGGCAAATAAACACCTCAATACTCAAACTGACTCCATGATTTTTCCCCAGAATGATGTCTGCTTCTCTCAGGATACATTCCTTCCCAGGAATGAATTTCATTTCTCCAGTTAACTTCTCTTGGCAGGGAGCCTTGGGCCTAGGTCTTGACAAGAGCATTATTTTAAAATGTTTTATTTTATTCCTAGTTACATGGAATGACAATTTTTAACATTTGGGGTTTTTGAGTTCCCAATTTTCTCTCTCCCTCTCTCACACTCCAAGACAGTAAGCAAGTTGATATATTATATATATGACAAGAATATTTATTAAAAGTGAGCATGATCTAGCCATACCAGATCTCAAACTACATTATAAAGTAATAATCATAGAAAATAATCTGATAATGGCTAAGAAACAGAGTGGTGCATCAGTGGAATAGATTAGGTACACAATACACAATAGTAAATGACCATAGTAGTCTAGTGTTTGATAAACCTAAAGAGTCAAGCTTTTGAGACAACTCACTATTTGAAAACACTGTAAAACAGTACGTCAGAAACTAGGTATAGACCAACATTTTACACCGTATACCAAGATAAGGTCAAAATGAGTACATGATTTAGACATAAAGGATAATACCCTAAACAAATTCGGAAAGCAAGGAATAGTTTACCTGTCAGATCTATGCAGAAGAGAAGAATTAATGACACAGAGCATTATGAGATATAAAATAGATAATTTCTATTATATTAAATTAACAAAGTTTTGCAAAAACAAAATCAATGCAACCAAGATTAGAAGGAAAGCAAAAAGCTGGGAACAATTTTTACAGTATCTCTGATAGAGGTGTCATTGGTCAAATATATAGAGAGCTGAGTCAAATTTATAAGAATACAAGTCATTCCCCAACTGATAAATGGTCAAAGTATTTGCACAGGTAGTTTTCAGATGAAGAAATCAAAGCTATCTATAGTCATATAAAAAATGGTCTAAATCACTACTGATTGGAGAAATGTATATTAAAACAACTGAAGTACCACCTTACACCTATCAGATTGGCTAATATTACAAAAAAGGAAAAAAAATGTTGAAGGGGATGTGGGAAGTTTGGGACACTAATGCACTGTTGGTGGAGTTGTGAATTGATCCAACTGTTCTGGAGAGCAATTTGGAACTATACCCCGAGGGCAATCAAACTATATATAACCTTTGATTCATCAATACCATTATTAGATCTGCATCCCAAAGATATTTTTCAAAAGGGGATAGGGTGGGGGAAGACCTATTTATATGAAAATATAGCAGTTCTTTTTTGTGGGTGGAAAAGAATTGGAAATTAAGGGGATGTCCATCAATTGGGGAACAGCTGAATAAGTTGTGGTACATTATTGTAATGGAATACTATTGTGCTTTAAGAAATGATGAACAGGATGATTTCGGAAAAAACTGGAAAGACTTACATGAACTGATGCAAAGTGAAGTGAACAGAACCATGAGAACACTGTAATAAGTTGTTACTTGTACAAACTAGTACAATAACAGCAATATTGTACAATAGTCAACTGAATGACTTTAGCAACCCAATGATCGAAAAGAATTCCAAAGGACTCATGAAGAAAAATGCTATCCACGTCCAGAGAAAGAACTGATGGAGTCTGAATGCTGATCAAAACACATTATTTTAAACTTTTTTCTTTTTTTTTTTTTTGGTCTGTGTCTTCTTTCACAACATGACTAATACGGAAATATGTTTTTTCAAGATTGCACATGTATAACATAATCAGATTGCTTAAGGGAAGGGGGAGAAGTAGGGAAGAGAGAATTTGGAACTCAAAATATAAAAAAAAAAGAATGTTAAAAATTGTTTTACATGTAATGGGGAAAATATATATATATTTTAAAGTGAGCATGACATTGGCATCATCAAAGAGCATTCATTGAGTATGTTCAGGGATTCAAGGCGGAGGCAAATTCTCCTGGTTCTGTTTCTTGTCATGTGCTCACAAAGCTTTCCTAGCCATTTTCCCCCCTTTTAAACAAAATGACATTGGGATATTTGCATTACATGGTATAAGTAACATGTTTGCTCCCAAACCCAAATTTTCAATCCTATTTTTAGTTATATTATCCAAAAGTGTTTTGAGTACTTTGTTAAAGGAGGATGATTAAATAAAAATTTTTAAAAAGAAAAAAAAAACTTCCAGCCTGCCTGAATGGAGACAGATGGCTCTACCCACAACTACTCCAGGAAAAAAACTAAATTCACACCACGTCAAATAACAGTCAAGAAATACAATAAGAAACTATGGCAAATTCTTCCTGTGCCATTCAAACATCAGCTGGAGCTTGTAGTGGCCTTTTAATATTTGAGCAACCAGAAAGTCATATCAGTGTCTTCTGAGTCAATCACTGCTCAAGGAAAGTTTCAGCACATTTCAAGGAAAAGAACTAGCTCAGTCCACATGGTCCAGGATGCTGGTAGATATCTCCTGCCATATCCAAGGTAGGGTGGGAGGAGGAAACTTAATATTGGGTAGAGCTTCCTATTTTAACATTTTTTCTTATTAGCTAAGTGCAAAGCTCAGTAGTTTTCAAGTGTTGTCAAGTACCTTCTAAACTTTAGTGAGCTCACTATAATTCTTGGTGCTTCACCCTGTGAAATTCCATCATCATCAGGTCATTCCTTTGGTTCAAGCAGTGCATTCCACAAGCCTCCCATTATAAATTATAAATACACTTGAGTGAAGAGGTTGCATTAAGCTATTATTCGTCAATAAGATTGAAGCGTAAATTTCTTTTTCAGAACTTCTGGCTAGAAGGACTAAGACAATGTGAGAGCAGAGGGTGCTTGAGGATGAAGGTAAAAGGGGTAGGGGTGAATACTGGAAATTGGTACTGATCAGTGAGGAGGTCATCTCCACAGAATTCACAATTTTGCCCATAGCACAGTCCTAACCTATCCTACTCTGGGTCTCCTTCTTTTCATTATTAGAACCTTCCCCAAAAGAACTGACCTAGAAAGGAAAGAAAATAAAATTAAAACCAGTCCCTGCTTTTCAACAGTTGCCTTAGGAGTTGGTTAGGAGAGAACATTAAAACCAATAGCTTATCAAACTGTAGCTTTCCCTGGTCCTTATGGAATAATACTAGTTGACAGTCATCTAATAATGTAAAGAAGCAGTGTTTAAATTGGTGTGGGTGTCTCAACTCTTAAAGGGCTGGACT